GTGACAACTTGATGCTTTGGTAGCGTCCAGTTTTAACTCCTAACGTATGAGAAGAAAGTTTTATTTTAGTACACAGTAGGAAATTGATATACTTCGTCAAATAAAATTGTAGATACGACACGTAATACTGCTATCAATTAACGAATACATCTCCTGTTTTTAATATCTAAAAGTCGTTGTTTAATAAGAAGAATATCAATCTCAAATACGAGCTCTGACTGTTTAAACCGCATATCTCCATGTCCAATGGTGTTTAGTTCATCTCTAATTAACTTTGACCAAAGACATAATACTATATGTCTCTGCTTTGACCAATTTGCAGATTTTGAACGTTTTCGATCAATATCGATACACATTTCTTTATATAAGCATTTTATAAGAGTTTTTGAAATACAGTTGTTTGTTGACAGGAGTTTGAACCAATATTTAAAATTTTGAATTTTCTTTTAACAATCATTGGAAGTCTTCCTAGTTCTAGTTATATCATAGCAGAATGTGTAAACTGTTTAACATCAAGTAGTGTTTTGCAAAAAAGCAAGTGGACTTTTTCGACATCATCAGCTTTATAGAAACCCCAGAGTTCGCATGCGTATGAAATTAAACTACCTACGTACACATTAAACAGAGACAGGAGAGCTTGAGTATTTATTAATAAATAGTAATTCCTTGACGTGGATAACATGGCAAACATTGATTTTCTACCTTGTTCTGCCAGCTTCTTCTGTGAAAATAGAATTTTTCCACTGTATTTTAAATTAAATCTTAAGTAACAGAAGTCATCGACCGTCTCCAGACTCTCATTATTATAGAACCATCTCTCATAATCCTTGCATGACTACACCTCCGTTTCGAAACACAACTACTAGTACTTTAGTTTTGCCAATATTAACTGTTAAATCGTTTTTTACAGTATATAGTTTTAATGAATTCAACATTTGCAGACCTTGTACGGTTTCTGAAAACAGCACCATGTCATCCGCATACATTAGAAGAAGCTCAAGCGGGATGCATCCTTCGATTAAGAAGGATATTTCACAATTATTGACATATAAAGAGAAGAATTTAGGCGATAAAACCTCACCTTATGGTAAACCGATATGACCTTCAAAAAATTCAGAGTACGAACCGTTGAAATGAACATAAGACTTTGTCACTTCGTACATAGAACGCACAACTGTCAATAACTTTCCACGGATTCCTACATGTGAAAGTTTCATCCAAAGTTTAGTACGATTTATACTATCAAACGCTCTCTTATAGTCCACAAAACAGCAGAAGAGTCGTTTCTTGTCTGATAATGTCCTAGTTATATATAAGAGAGTGTAGTACGAATATTGCATCTGCCGTGCCATGACTTTGACTATGTCCAAATTGTGCGTCGGTTATCATGTCGTTTGAACATGCCCACTTTAGCAGTCTTTGGTTTAAAACAGCTGTAAATAACTTGCCTAAATTGCTCAAGAGGCTTATCCCTCTGTAATTATTAGTAAAGCTTTCGTTCTCTTTATTTTTATAGACCGGTATGACTATTGCTACCAAGACTTTGGAAAGTGTCCATTCTCGAGAACAGTATCAAATAACTTTATTATGAATGGAAGCAAAAAGTCGCGAAGTTCGATGAAATATTCATTCAACTAAAGGTCAAGTCCGTGACTTTCACTACGCTTCGATAGTTTGACAACCTGCTCAACTTCATTATTTGTTATTTCAGCATCAAGACCATCGAAAACACAACACTACTTTCTTCCGTTGTTTCATTTTTCAAATCAAAATTCATTTCCAGTCCAAGATCTTTGAAGTGCTCATACAAATCGTTTTATTTCAAGTTACTTTTAAGTGTATGCCTTTTTTTGTTGGTTTAAACTTTGCATAAAATAATTTTGAGTTTGTTTTGGGAATAACATTAAACATGTCACCTTCTTAATGTTTCATACATATATATTGACGTTTAAGATAACGTTCTTTGCGTTTTTGTGTTCAGATTAATGTCTTCGTTACTTTACAAAAAGGTTCAGCAATAGCCACTACGGCTTCCGATAAACGTTCCACACAATTGTCTATATCGGCATTCAAAGGACGAGTTAGTCGATCGTGATTCACACGGAAAGCCTTGCGCATTTCGGATTTATATTCATCTTTCCACTTTAACACTGATAAAAATCACTTTGTGGTACATTATTAGATATTTTATTTCCGGTTATTCTTGAACTGAGTCAAATTCGAAGTGTAATGGAGCATGGTCCGATAATGTTGTAAAACTGTATACAATAAACCTTCGAATCAATTTAAAATGTTGTTCCTGTGTAATAAGATAGTCATTCACACCAGTTCCGTTCGCACCACAGTATGTATAACTGTTTGAGTAGCCTTCTTTATGGCGTCCAATAACAATTCGAAATCCGGAAGATTTGTACAAGGAAAGTAACTTTAAACCCCATGTGTTAATTTTCAAGTCCGGGTTTACTCTAAGAGGAAGTCAAAAAGTTATGAATCCGTTGAATACGAAGTAAGGTTGACAAGAGAATCCGGCAAGTCTTCTTTTATGTAATCGTCATAGGTGCTTGTCCGACTATTAGTGTCCCCACAAATAAAACACATTCCTTTAGTTGAGTAGTTTTCTAAGACGGATTCAAGACCTTCCAACAAATCATTTACCCCAATTTTTGATATTTATACCTTTTACGTCTGTTTGTTTTGCTCACACATTGTTGTCAATATAATGGAATTCTATGCGACTGTCATACAAGTGAGCGGTATAGCTAGCTATAAAACCAGGTTTAATCCACCACTTTCTACATAAGGAAATGCCTGTACCAAGTCCGGAATTTTTATTTCCATTCGTTTGGTGTGTTTGAGCTTTTGATTTTGCCATTTGATAAAAGACTCTCCGTTTTGAATTTTCCTTGTTATTTTCCTGTTTATAGAAAACCGATGTGTATGGCAGAGTATAAACAAATACTAAGTATCTATCTTCATCATTTTCCAAAAAAATAATTTATCGATTTTTATCACTATTATAGAGTCCTTTGTGATTTCACATACAGAGATTTTCAGTTATCAAAAAAAGGTTGAATAACAAAAAAACCTTACTCCAAGGGAAATAAAATGGCAAAATCAAAAGCTCAAACACACCAAACGAATGGAAAATAACAATTCCTGACTTGGTATAGGCATTTCCAAATGTAGAAATGGTAGATTAAACCTAGTTTTATAGCTAGCTAAACCTCTCACTTGTATGACAGTCTCATATAATTCCTTAACTAAGAATTAGAAGATGTTTCTTATGCAAAAAAAAAAACATTCCCCCACCTTTAGAACTTTTCGAACGCATACGCGGTATACAATGACTGGACAATAGAAGCGGTCCATAGTAAATTTGAATTGGCACAGTTCATGACCCAACATTCACTTAAAACACTGTATCATATGTATTCAGAAAATTAACAAATTGTTCGTTTTCAAGTTTTTCTCTTAGACCACCGTTTATGTTCCAAGATAAGATTTTGGTGGAAGAAACAGTTTGGCCATTCTCTAGTCGTTCCTAGTTCCACGCGCCTTTGACTTCAGTGTTGCCTCCGTTGTCATTCACGCGTTCCTCCGCAAAAACTCTTTCTTCGTCTATGTAAAGTTTATCATTAATGAGAACGGCTTTCTTTTTTTGCAATTTCGCTTCCTTATACATTGGTACAAGACGCTTCGGGCGGTCATTCACATCTTTTGGATACTGTTGGCTAATTCCAACATAAGTATCTTTCAACTTGTAACTGTTCGACCGAACTTTACTCCGTGAATTTGAGTTGTCATATTGTACGATGATAGGTCTCGTTTGTTCGGCTTTCTCAAGACGGTGTGCTTTTGTAATTGTATGTTTAACATCAGTTAGTTCTAGCTCAGTTTTCTTACTACAGTATCAATACAGTTTCAGGACGTACCGTCCTCGGCCATTGGAATTCCGTGAAAGTGCATCAGTAAAAGTAATAAATAATACAAAAAAATCTAGAATCATATGTACTAACTATTGTTTTTAGTAATATCAGGCTGGATCGTTTTTGAAATTGGTTAAAATTAGTACAATCCAGAATCATCCTAGTACAACCCTAGATATCCATCACTTCCGACTCTAAGTAGATAATGGAATTCTGATTTGCACTGGATTTGGTATAAACTGGGACTATTATACAAAAAACAATATATTATGTCCCAGGCATAAATCAGAATTCCAATATCAGTGATCACATCTACCAGTAGATATTTGAATTCCAATTTGTACCAGGAAGATTCTGGTCCTACTGATTACAATTTGTACTGTAACATATTTATTAATATTGTGACATCAAACTAAAATTTGAAGTTAAATCATCAGCGCGTGAAAATTGTTTTTGAGCATAAGAAACTGCAAATAGTCTGACAGTCAGATAAGTCAGTAGTGAAAAATTTATGAAAATTGCAGAAGAAATGTCCTCAAGATTATTTTGTTATAATTTGTGTTTAATATACAGTACAGTAGGGGTGACGGAATTCCTTTTGTCTGCATACTCAAGGATTTGTATAATAAGAAATTACACTAAGTGGCATATTCTACATAAAAGTATTTAAACAAATATGAAAAAATCAAATGCATGCAATGATTTTAACAATCATGGTTATAAGAATCAAGTTTCCGGTAACTTGAAATATGGAGAAAAAATAAACACATAAATCCTTCTTATCTTAATATAACATTAATCTTAAACTTAAACTCCCACACCATAATTTATTATTTAAGACATTACATATTTTTAAAATATTTGTAAATAAAATGGAAAGTGAAAGGAGTTGCCTCCCTTAAATCGTTTCGTCTGTCAAATATCCTGTAAATAATCCGTTATTAAACTGGATATAGCCTGAAATAAACTGAAGTTCATCTTTTCTTATGTTTTTCATCTATAAAAAGCCAAAAGAATACTAAATCATTATTCCTTATACGAAACTAAATGTAAATAATAATCCCTATTCATTGAGTCAGATCCGCCATATTGGATAAGTAATAAGAGGCTGGGCTAATGTTATTGTCAAATATTTAACGTTTTATACATGTTGACTCCCCTTGGGGCACCTTAATGCAGACATGAGCTGGGGAACTGAGCTTTGGGTAAGTTTCCAGATTGTTGCACCGGCCAAAACTAGCAATATATTAACAAAAGTAATCCTGAATTGACCAAAATAAATAGCAGGAAGCCGTTGTCGTTGGAAGGAAAATATTTAGTCTTTCTTATGTTGGTGTCAGCTGATATATCAAGGCTCCATAGTTTGATAAATATAGCATCATATTATTCGTGTTAGACGTGCTTTTTATACTGAGTAAAAGATGGAACACAAATAAAATTTCTAACAATGTCAATGAGTAACATGTACATGTATGTACAATTTAAGGCAAATCAAAATGTAGTAAACTTTCAGAATACATGTTGTTTTGCCCCATTCCCATACACATAAAATTGATATTGTTGTGCAAGAATATGAACTGTTAAGTTTTTTATGTAAAATTGATAATGGAAACACTCAAACAGTGAATGTTTCAAAGCATGCAAAGAGACAACAACCTGACCAAACAGCAGAAAACAGCCCAAGGCCGCCAATAGGTCTTCAACACAGCTGTACCTGGAGGCAGGCTTCAGCTGACCCCTTAACAATAATGTATACTAGTCTAGCGAAAATGGACATCACACTAAACGCCGAAAACATATAAATGAACCAAAATTAAATATACATACAAGTCTAACAAAGGCCAGATGTTCCTGACTTGGGACAGGCCCAAAAATGCAGCAGGGTTGAACATGGTTTGTGCGACATCAACCCTCCCCTTGATCAACATGATTTAACAAAGAACTGCATGCACTAGCAGTTACTGATATGCCAGCTCCAGACCTCAATTAAACTGAGGCCAAACAAAAAAAACATGAGTGTTTACGGTCACCCGACCGACCCTCATTTTATCGCCGCAACCCTAACTTTTATCTGCAATTTTCCAAAATTACGGAAATTTCGGTCTTTTCCGTCGTGTGTACCGGTATTTACTTATCAAACAACAATGGCGGCCTCCAGTGCCAGAAAGCTAGCTGATAGACAAGTATATGCACTATTATAGTGTCTTCTGTTTCTCTGTATGTAGCTAATTGTGTCAAGAAACTACAATTGAACTCCCCTCCACCTAAACAAAAAATAAATCTGACCTACCGACCCTATTTTTTTCGGCATGTGACACAGTGACAGTAAACTCGTATAATTTTTTTTTTGGCCTGATTGAAAGATTGTCTTCATCATATGAAAATCTAGCACAATCCCTCCAGTTAGGGGTTTAGTATCATACCATCATAAAATAGACAAGAAGAACATATCCCATATCATGTCAACAACTGGTTTTAAAATAAATGTGTTTATTTCCAATGCAAAGACCTTAAGTATGAGCATGATGAGTGAATCAATATTAATTCAAAAAAAATACCATCTTTGATGACCTGACAACAGTATCATGACTATATCCCTTTTGAATAAGTTTGTTAAAAAGGTTTGGTTAGCTTTTGAGGGGAATGACATTTTTGTGCTTTGTACAGAATATTACCATAAAAGATGGGATGTGAAATACCTGAACGTATAAGATGACTGCACGTTGATTTATATTTACGAATGATGTCATTGTATCATGATAAAATTTAGTAAATGTTTTTGACAAGTTTGTGATATCAAAAACCCTAGTGCAATAATCATGATAATTTTCAGTAATACAGAGATTTCTTTCTTTAAAATCAAATATGTTGTTACATACACAGGCCAATTGAACAAGTTGAGATATACATGTATAAACATTAGATGGCCATGGTGCCAAGGAAAACATCGCCATCTAAAAATGGATAATTAACAATTGGAAATGAAAAATCATCTCTTTTATCATAAACTTTAGTATTAAGCTTCCCGTTAAAGATATAGATATCAAGATCCAGGATATATGTGTATATATTCCTGTTGAATGGTTTAACACTAGTAATTTTTGGGGCCCTTTATAGCTTGCTGTTCGGTGTGAGCCAAGGCTCTGTGTTTAAGGCCATGCTTTGACCTACATGTAATAATGGTTTACTTTTACAAATTGTGACTTGGATGGAGAGTTGTCTCATTGGCACTCATACCACATCTTCTTATATAGATCTATATATATTAGACATTTTGAGTGTCTTAAATATTTGCGTAGTTAAAATACATTATTAACACACTGTTGACATCATGGCTGATATGGATCACCTGCTGGAAGACACACAATGACTGAATGGACAAGCCGTCAAATTGTTAATTATCTTTATCATTGTTGACACCAACATGTATATGATTAGTTCCAATTAAAGTTAATTGAATCAATTAACCAATCTAGAGTTTAATTTTTTGTAAAAAATAATCTAGCCTTTTTGCTAAAAACAACAATCTGGCTACATCTTCAGCAAGAATGACATGTATGATGTGAATTTTATTGAAATTTTTTATGCCCTCACAGTAGCGGAGGGCGCATTAAGTTTTACCCCCGTACATCTGTCCGTACGTCCCAAAGTTGGTTTCCGTTCTCTAACTTAAGTTTGTCTCAACCAAATGTTATGAAACTTAAACAAAATGCTTATTACCATAAAACACAGATCCAGTTTGAATTTTGGTGGCGTCACTTTTAACACTCTAGAGTTATGCCCCTTTACAAATGGAAAAATTGCTGAATATTTTCGTTTACTTTCTCTTACTTTAGTTTGCCTCAACCAAATGTAATGAAACTTATACACAATGCTTATCACCACAAAACACAGATCAACTTTGAATTTTGGTGGTGTCACTTTCACTGTTCTAGAGTAATGCCCCGTTACAAATGGAAAAATTGCTGAATTTTTCGTTTCCTTCTATAATAAAATTGAGAATGGAAATGGGGAATGTGTCAAAGAGACAACAACCTGACCATAGAACAGACAACAGCAGAAGGTCACCAACAGGTCTTCAATGCAGCGAGAAGTTCCCGCACCCGGATGTGTCCTTCAGCTGGCCCCTAAACAAATATATATACTAGTTCAGTGATAATGAACGCCATACTAAACTCCAAATTGTACACAAGAAACTAAAATTAAAAATAATACAAGACTGACAAAGGCTAGAGGCTCCTGACTTGGGACAGGCGCAAAAATGCGGCGGGGTTAAACATGTTTATGAGATCTCAACCCTCCCCCTATACCTCTAGCCAATGTAGAAAAGTAAACGCACAACAATACGCACATTAAAATTCAGTTCAAGAGAAGTCCGAGTCTGATGTCAGAAGATGTAACCAAAGAAAATAAACAAAATGACAATAATACATAAATAACAACAGACTACTAGCAGTTAACTGACATGCCAGCTCCAGACTTCAATTAAACTGATTGAAAGATCATGTCTTCATCATATGAACATCAGGCACAATCCTTCCCGTTAGGGGTTTAGTATCATACCATCATAACATATATGAGAAGAACATAACCCGTGTCATGCCAACAACTGGTTTTTAAATAAATGTGTTTAGTGCCGATGCAAAGACCCTATAAGTGAATCAATATTAACGCCAAAATATGCAATCTTTAATGACCTGACAACAGTATCGTAACTATATCCCTTCTTAATAAGTCTATTTAAAGGTTTTGTTAGCTTCAGAGGTGAATACTGACATTTTTGTGCTTTATAAAGAATATTTCCATAAAAAATTGGATGTGAAATACCTGAACGTATAAGAAGTCTGCATGTTGAGCTATATTTACGAATGATGTCCTTATACCGATGATAAAATTTAGTAAATGTTTTGACTAGTTTGTGAAATCGAAAACCCTGGTGTAATAATTTTTCAGTAATACATAAATTTCTCTCGTTAAAATCTAAAACATTGTTACATACACGAGCGATTCGTACAAGTTGAGATATATATAAACACCGTAAGATGGTGACAAGGGAACGTCACCATCTAAAAATGGATAATTAACGATAGGAAATGAAAAATCATCTCTTTTATCATATATTTTAGTATTAAGCTTTCCGTTAATGATATAGATATCAAGATCGAGGAAAGGGCAGTGGTCATTGTTAGTATTAGCTTTATTTAAAGTAAGTTCAACAGGATAAATTTCTTTAGTATACATACTGAAGTCGTCATTATTGAGAGCCAAAATATCATCCAAATATCTAAAAGTATTATTAAATTTGTGTATCAGATGTTGTTTCGATGGGTCTTTGCTGATTTTTGTCATAAATTGTAACTCATAGCAATACAAAAAAAGGTCCGCAATAAGTGGTGCACAGTTAGTCCCCATTGGAATTCCGATGACCTGACGATATACGGAATCTCCAAAGCGAACAAAAATGTTATCTAGTAAAAATTCAAGGGCATATATAGTATCAAAGCATGTCCAATTGACATAGTTTTTTTGTTTATTGCTACTAAAAAATGACCTAAAAGAGTTTGAACATATATATTCACATTCTGACTTTTTAAATGCCCATTTAATTAGGTGTGTGAATTTTTTCTTAATGAGAATGTGAGGCAATGTGGTATATAGGGTAGAAAAATCAAAACTTTGAACAGATTCAAAATAACCAATATATGCATGCAATTTATCAAGTACTTCCAACGAGTTCTTGACACTCCAAAAGTAATTAATTCCACTATTTTCGAAGGCCTTATTTGAACAATTTATTATCAGGTTTTTGATTGTACCAAGTGTACTGGTAAGAAGAATAGACAATTTAGTAGTGGAACAATGGCTTGAAGACGAAATGAATCTATATTTGTAAGGTGTTTTGTGCAGCTTCGGAAGCCAATACATAGTTGGGACTTTCATTGTATTTGGTTCTCAGTGTTCCAGCTTGAATCTCAGGGCAGAAGGGTGCTAGTTGTCTGAAAGGGCACTTTAGCGTTATAACCCAGATTTTAAGGGCACTGTTGGACAGTGTATAAATTACCTTGAATATTGCTAGGCTCAGCTGGAGAACATTAGTTGTATTCAAACCATATTCAGAAATTAATGTGTTCTTGATGTTGGTTCCAGTAAGAATTTTTTTTTTATCAAATTATCATACCATGAAGCAAAGCATATCATGTTGATG